GACATGGCTGCGAGCCTGCCCTCGGTGCGTCCCATTTGATGATAATAAACATCTGCCTGTACTAACTCTTGGTTTTCTATTGCTTCTAGCTCCGCTCACTCTTTGCTATATCTGCAGCTATTTGAGGTCTTGTGCCATTTCTACCAAGTGCTACCAAGCTTTGGCGGGCAGCTACCAGGTGCTACTTCAGTAGTTCTTACATGGGGACTTGTCTACCCTTTACCACGGCTACCGTCGCTACTGAGCGCTACCTGGCCCTGTGGTTTTTCCCTGATAGTTGGTGTCAAAAATCAGACCGAGCGTTACTATACGGTCGACAATCACTGGCGGATCGGAGCCGTCGGGGCGGCCCGCTAAATGAAGTAAATGGAAGAAGTACCGACAAGTCTGTGCAATGATAGGGCTAGGCCATTCACCTCGGATTCGGCGTCTTAGTCTTTGATTGATGCTCGGGATATGCAACCGTGGGAATATTTCATGCATCCTGTTGTCAGACCAAAATCTAGAATTTTTGACGGTAGGGTCACTGCGCAAAAACGGCATATCAAGTCCCCGTGCGCAGAAACGGGTTTTTTGTACCACGCTCTTGCTCACCGTTATCCCGTAGCCCAATTTTCCTCGCTCAGAAATCTTGATAAAAATTGTAATCTTTTCATCATCGCACATGTGGCACTATGTCATAGGACATTCAAATACACACTCACACTCGTAGAATCTGCCCAGCTTATCCAGAGAAATAGGACACATATCCCAATTTGTTGTGCACATCTTTGTTTCATGAATGATCGAGCGCAAGTTCATCACGGAACATCGCGTGATAATCTCTCTGCCCAGCCATATGCATTTGTCTCGTATTTCCACGGAACAACCACCGACATTCCCCCACCCTCCACGACCGACAACACGAGAATCAGCAAACCCAAGCCCACGCATTATGAAGTGCGGGAAAGGTCTCCAATAAGCGAATGCGGACGCCGCAGTGGAGTACTTAAGACATCACCAGGATTCAGATGACCTTTTTATTTTACTGCGACAGTTTGGAGGTCTGTCGTTCCCTACGCATGGACAAGAGAGTGTTTCCCTGTGCAAGAATGTCCGTCCTTGCAAGGAGGGGGCGATGCTGGTTGCTGATTCGATGCAGAGAATTGTGATCGCTTCGTTGAATTGACAATGATCAAGATAATATTTCCATCGGTAAAAGATTCAAAGGCAATCAAGGTGCATCTAGTTAAGTGCATACAACAACCAAATGAGACCCGCAGGGATAACCGCCGCCGAGGGAGTGTTGGCTACTCCCTCTCGTAGACAGACACTTCAATAATACTAAGCTCGTACCTCCTTGTAGGCAAAGATTGGTTGATGAAGAGGTCGGTGTTGCCGTATCGGACTCTGTCCTGCCCCAAGAACAGTCGACTGAGGGGTCTCTGTGCTCGAGGTACTAGTGAGGAAGGTAGTGATATGCTTACGGTGCGTGTGAGAGTGGAAGGTCAACAAAATCAACCAAAGTACCGTGGGCGATGTCGGATACCAGAGCTACATAAACCTAAAACGACGAAGAATTCTCCTGGCAGGCCTCGTTGGCCCCTGTAAAGTCATCGTTCATCTGCGCTCATTGTTGAACATGAAGTCTGTGAATGAAGCGCTATGGAACCCACATCTTAGGCGCTTCAGAGCACATTTTCTACTTGGCCCCTATCCCAACCGATCAATTAGATCAGTGGCGGTGCCTGTCATCGCGGAAAATTCTTGCTTTCGACCGTGACCAGCATGCTCGCCGGCAGACTGATACGGCCTCGTTTACTGGCACATTTGCGCCCTCCGATACCATGCGCTCTTTGTCTGCACTGGAGGATTGCTCGACATTCTGGGCCGTTGCACACGTTACAATCTCGTAGCATTTTGCAGTTGAAAATTCGGACCTATTCTGACGATGCAAACTCTCGAATAGCCGACGAGGGACTACCTCTACATGTGGGCACGCATCCTGGTCCAAATATCTCCAAGGACTGACTGTTCCGTCTTAAGAACTCTGGCCCAACAACCGCCGCGCTGCTCGCATACGCAGAGGCGCAGTGGGCGTCACCATCCGTGATCCCCCCGGGCTGGAGCACCGACTGGCGCAACTGGGACTACCTCCTCACCTTCTTCGCATTCAGCCCATACTTCCTTCGCCTCCCTCAGATCGAGATGCTCGTCAACATAAAGTACGCCGTCCAGGGCGAGGTGCGCCCCCTCATGTACTCCCCCACACGCGACGCGCTTGTCTTCCAGATCGACCTCAGCGACGGCCCGGGCGTCGGTGGCGAGGGCGCGGCGGAAATCTTCCTCCTCGACTGCCGCGCGATGACGCTGTGGACGTACGACGCGGACCAGGCCACCAACACGCCGGACACGATCGACGAGCTCGTGCTCCTCATTGGCGCGGCGCCGACGCCGGAGGGCGTGCCGATGATGCAGCTCGAGCCGGACCCCGAAGGTGAGGCAGCGCTGAAGCGCGTCCTGGCGCGCGACGCGAGCGTCATCCCGCTGCTCGAGGATGAGTTTTTGGGGTATGCGCCCCGCGTGACGAAGGAGGAGGAGGAGCTCGCGAACGTGGACGAGGAGGACAAGGCGCGGAAGACGAAGCTCGCGGAGGCGATCACGCGGGCGCGCGGGTATGTCGCGCAGGCGGAGGAGGAGCTACGGCTTGAGGGGCGGGATTTGCGGGCGCTACGCGCGGAGCAGGAGTCGGGGTCGGAAGAGAATATCAAGGCGGAGATCCGGCAGGACATGACGGCGCTCGCGGAGATGCGCGAGGCGGTGGACGAGGCAAAGGCTAAGCTTGCCGAGATGGAGGAGACCTGGGTGGCACGTTATGGGGAGTGGGATGCGACCAAGTGAACTGGATCAAAATGTAATTGACCTCTACTCAATTCTCGGCCTGCCCGAGTTTTCGCATCGTTGTGCCTGACCTCGTGTGTTAGTGGTTTTTCGAGCTCATTCGATTCACCGTCCACTACTAACTCACTGAATATCTGTGAAGGTCCATACACGCGCTGAATAAATATACCTTCTCATTCTCAGAAACCCCCACTTTCACCACCTTATTGGCTCGATCTTTTGTTAAGCCGTATGCCCAGGAAATCGAGACCCGCAGAATCTCGGGAGAATCATAGGCGTCTCGCCAGACTCAGACGATTCATTATCAAGTGTCACAATTTTCTCCCTCTCTCTTTCTTTTCAATTATCGTGAACTGCAGACTGATTCAACTGTGTGCGGATATTTAAATTTGGTTGAACCCCGCCGGCTTTTTCAGCTGAATAACGTCCACGTTCACGTCCGTCTCTAATTTTTCCTCTAGTCTTTAACCGCCGGATTGATTTTGTCGACAGAAACATTCTGTACATCCCGGCGCCGAACAACTCCCACACCCCATCGATCACGGGCTGCGGCGAACATAAACTAGCCCCGCTTGTGGACTCTGGTCGGCATGTATGACTGTCGGGTCTTCCGACGAGAAGATTTCAGGTACATCATCACTTGATGTACCTTGCGCGGCGCGGCCGCCTGGCGTACCACGGACGGGGTCTTTTTACGCCATTTATCCGACAGAATTAATCCTTAGGAGGCTCCGCGCCGAACAAGCACCAAAACCCGCTCGATCACCACCTATCGCGGAAAGGCAGCAGCGCTCTGCCCGTGGATGCCGGCTGGCATGTGGTCGACCCATTTTCGGTATGACCTAGGTATTGACGCAGTCGCCCGTGCATACCATGGCGGGGCTTTCTTTTTATCTTTTAGACGGTCACCTCGTCTCCTCGATTACCAGGCATTTTTTGGAAAGAAAACCAAAACATCATTTAGTTCACCGAACAAGACTATAAGCAACCGGATCCCCACCCGCGACATTATCTCCGTCTCGAACTTGGATGCTTCAGGCTTTTTTTTTTTGGCAACCGTGGGAAGTAACAAAGAACTCCTCGCCCGTACAGTAACCCCACCGTTCTCTCCTCTTTGACCCTACCAATCCTTTGAACATCCGTATGGAAAGAGAGGCCCGAAGGAAGAGTGATAATCAATGTGGCGTGCGTTGCGGTTGCGGTCGTATTGTAATGCTGGAGTTGAACGGGGAAGGAAAGGCTCGCGGCGGAATTTAAGGATGGCTGGGCCGGGCGATGCGTATCTTGTATATGGACTCGTCAACCAGACAAAGGAAGAAACAGATTTTCCCGGAGGAAAAAGAAGTTCATCACCCTCATGCCTCCAGTGGGAATTGAATCCACATCTCCCAGAAAACCAACTCAGATTGCTGGGTTGACTTCCCATTAATCTATGGAGGCTTGATGCCATTGTTTCGATGTAGCTCTACTCTACCAAGAAGATTGCTCCTGGCAGCATTTGTGATGGCAGATAAATTGCCTTGCAGGTCGCGGGCTGTATACGTACTTCATGTCACCCATGCAGTGTTTGGCTTGGATCTTGGCACAACTTGGAGAGATAAAAAGATGACACGAATTTTCCATTATGCTTCCGGTGGGATTCGAACCCACAACCCCTCAAGAAATCTTGCATTCATCGTCCTACGCCAATGAGGTAATTTCCATTAATCCACAGAGGCTCAATCCCTTTTGGTTCAACACATAGATGAAGGGAGGTTCAAGGCACTCTGTGATTCATGTAAAAATGATATGGTACAAGTTGGGGTCAACTCGTGTATGCAGTCTTTTAGGTCGTGCTCTACATAGCTGTATCATATTAGGAGGAGGAGAAAAAGAATTAGTAACGTGCGGTCGACCGGAAGGGGAAAAAAACAGCCAGTTCTCTGCTGTGGGATTCGAACCCAGATGAATGGTAGGTTCGCGGTGTTCTGGGATGGATGTTTTTCATGTACTTAAATTGATATGTATCATGGTTCTAGTTGGAGATTAATCTTAATAGTTCATCCCATAAAGACAAGTGTTTTGAGAAAGGAATTTTAGCTCTAGTGACGGAAAGAAAAAAAATCACTTCATATCCAGCATGCCTCCGATGGGATTCGAACCCACGACTCCTCAGAAAAGGCGTAGTCACTCACAAAACAGTATTGAGGTGATTTCCACTAATCCACGAGGCTTGATGCTTCCAAGTTCATGTGTTCACTAATCCGGTTCATGAAGGATTTCTGAAGCAACCAATGAATAATGCTTGCGGGTCAAGTAGAATTCGAGGTCAGCATGAATCATTTTGCGCAGCGTCTGGGTCTAGTCTTGTTGTTACCGATGGGGTCCGATTGGGTCAGATTCTTATTACATAAACATCGGAGTTTCAATTTCGATGCGAGCGCCGGTTGAGACTCAACTTGTCTTTGGATAAATTGGGTGTTCAGAATGATTCCTGCATCCATTCCTGTGCATTCTGTCTCTTCAGAATGTCGAAAATTCAGCGTGAATCGTGGTTTTGAGGGACCGCCGAATGCCCCGTGATCCATCGGCCGACGAGAACAAAATATTCCATACGGCCCCGATGGACACTGAAAAAAATCTGGAATATTGCCACAACCGAGTTATATGTCATGCATACCTGCCGAGAGGGTTCTCTGGGGAGAAAGGTGAGTTTTATTGTCGGCGAGCGTTTTCACTTGGGAAAAGTTTACGTAATAAGATTCTGACCCGATCGGACACCCGCGGTAACTAACAGACTTCAACAAACCGAGGTACGAGGTCGATCTTGTTGAAGCGTCTGTCTACGAGAGACTAGTCTGGGTCGTGGCTGATGGGACAAAAATAAGAATGGAATTGAGGGACGGAAGGGGAAAAAAGTCGCATTCGAATGTATGGTTTGGGACTTGAACCCACCTCTCCGGATTATTCTATTTAACAACCCCCCTTGTTGAGAACAACCCGGGTTGTTGGGGGTTGTTGGAAAAGATATTCTATTTAAAACCTTGGTGATTTTTAAGCCAAGATCTGATGATCGCTGATGGCGGGCGTGGCGGGAAGGGGCGGGAAGGGTTCGGGGAATTGCTCAGGTACAAATAATGCTCTAAAAGAGCCGAAAAAATTCTTGCACGCTGGAGATCATATGAGCTGACTCCCTAAATTTTACTGGCCATTCTAATGTCCAGGGGAGATGGAATTCGAGGCATTTTACCGTTTGTACATGACAAACTCCTCAGAAACTCCCAAATCAAGATGGAAAATTGAGGGAAAATTGGAGAAGCAGTGTGAAGGTGCTCCGATAGATATGGGCTGGTAGACACACGTGTATACTCTTCTTGGGACTCCAAAATTTCCAAATATTGCGAGAACCGCGGTCAAAGCGTTGATTTTCCTGATCTTATCAATTTTTGTTGACATCCAAAAATAAAACATATTTGCCAGCAACCCCCGAATAACCTCAACAACCCATGTTGTTCTTAACAAGGGGGGTTGTTAAATAGAATTATCCCACATCTCCCCAGAAAACTCGTGGAGCGGCATAAATTTAGCTGAGGCGAGTTTACGTTAATCCACATTGTGTACTGGTTACATGTACCTATGTGTAGGGAAGCATCCTGAGCCTCAGGGCGAGGCTCCGGAAAATGGTTACACTTACATGAATAGACATGAATCGGAGAGATGATTTCATCCACAGGTCAAAATGTGAACTGACTGGTAGTAGACTTCAACTTGAGAGAAATGCAACCTCGCTCGCAGTTGCGACTTACCTGACCTAACCCTGGTTCAACTTTATTTCAACCACTGTTTGCGCGTATTTCTTTTCGTTGAACCGGGCCGGGCGTCGGGTATTCGGGATCCTATAATAAGCCGATTCCCGACCATACGCACGTTTCCCATGCTCCGCGTTGCTGCGGTTTTGTTTGCTCGCAGAATGCATGCATACGGATGTCTTCGCTCTGTATGTCATACTTCAGCCGATAATGCCTTCGTTCCGCAGCACGAGGAAAGAGAAGGGAAGATCCAAGAGTCGCACAGACAACGCGTATCAGTACTCCCTCCGGAGATCTTAATAATAATTGGAGAAGCACGGAGGTACTCTACTTACACGACCCCGCGCGGTACCGTGGCTTGACAATCACGATGGGGGAAGATAGCGTACCTTGATTGCGCAAGTGGAGGTAATACTTACAGCTGAGTTTAAGTTGCAATCCGCCACGTAGTAACTGAATTTATAGCCTACCCACGACTAAATGTTTATCTGAATTCCCATCATGCAAATTTAAATTCGTCCGGTAGAGCTCTCCCTTTGGGGCATCTGCCAATTGTCGGTAGACTGTCCGCGTCGTCGTTGTGGTTCAAGTTGAAAATAGAAAACGGTATCGCTTGCCGCGTGACTGACACATGGCTTGATCAAGGAGGCTAATCTCGGCTCGTTCTCTACCTCATCGTACCCTCAAGGCCATAGACTACTAGAGCCAGGATGGATGCCCCGCCCGCGCCACCCCCTCGCTCCCCCCTCAGGCCACCTCCCCAAGCAACCTCAAGCTTTTCCTCCTTGGCCGAATCTTTGACTCTCACAACCGATTATCCACCAGAGCATTCAGAGTTTCTGCTGGATTCTCTACACGCAGAGGCCTCGTTGTCAAATTCCCCAGTACAAGAACCGGGCGAAATAATGGGGGAATCGGACGAGGCAGCAGGAGAATTGGCACCCCAATCTTTGACGAAGCGTCAGCACGCCCTGCACGAAATGCTCTCCTCCGAACAGGCGTATGCGTCTGATCTGGCCTTGGTGGTGGACGTACATATGGAACTTGGTGTGTTTGGTTCCTGTTACTGTCTTTGCACTTCTGGCCTTTGCTTCCTGCTTAAATTTAAGTGCTCGACTTCCGATTTTTTTCGTGCGAGGGGTCCGGACGTATGCCTGGGGAATCGGGTGACAGTCGAGGGTCCCCGTATCTTCCGAGCGGCGTGGTGCCGCGACCCCCGGGTGTCCGTCCGTCCGTGATGGGCTCGATCCTTTTATTTATCCTTGACGCGCTCGCCGTTGATTTCAGACGGTATGCCCGCGTCCAGCCCATCCTTGCCTTTCTGGCTGCTGTATTGGGCCGACACTTTCGACCGGGGCTTCGCCAGATAGCACACCCTCGTGCATGCCAGGTTATCTCCGTCCCCTTCATTTTCTGGACGGATTTGCGCATTACGGCAACATGGTCTCCGTAATCGGCCTCTTTCTCTGAATTCGAATTACTTTTTTTTTTCGTTATGGCTTTTCCTTCCCTCTCTCGTTCTCTTTCCGTCCCGTTCTCTGCTCCCCAGCTAACTTATTCACCCTTCATCCAAAGCGGAAGGCCCCCTTCCCGCCTCCTCCATCCGCACCATATTCGTCAACCTCCCCTTCCTCGCCGCCCTCGCCCAAGACGTCTGCACCGCGCTCCCCCTCTCCCTCGCCTCCGCCCTCACGTCCCCCTCCTGCACAACCGACACCATCGGCGCTCTCTTCCTCCGCCTCGCACCCGAGCTCCTCGAGCCGTACAAGCACTACATCACGCGCCACCCCTCCGCGCTCGCGTGCCTCGCCGCGCTGCCGCCAACGCCCGAAAAGGACGAGTGGGAGCGCGAGTGCAGAAGGAGGGCGGAGGGGCTCAGCAACGCTTGGGACCTGCAGAGTCTCCTCATCAAGCCCGTGCAGCGGCTGCTCAAATACTCTTTGCTGCTGCAGGCGATCATCGACGCGACGCCCCCCTCGCACCCGGACCTCCCGGACCTCATCAAAGCAAAAGCGAAGATGGAGGACGTCGCGCGCGAGGTGAACGAGGGCCGGCGGCGCGCAGAGGTCGTCAAGGAGGTTTTGACGGCGCCCGCGCTCAAAAAGCCCCCCGCGGTCCTCAGGATGAAGTCCCTCCGCGGGCCGCTCTCCCCGAGCTCGCCCACGGACGAGGAGGAGCAGGGCGGCGACGCGAACAGCGAGAAAGCGCGCGTGGCGCGGATGGCGAGCGAGCTCGCGCGGATCGACGTGTTCGCCGCGCAGCTCGCGGCGCAGATCCACGAGTGGGCGCGCGGGACGCAGGCGAGCGCGGACGCGCTCGTGCAGTGGGCGAAGGCGTTTGGGGCGGCGATCGGGCTGGGCGGGGATGTAAGGAGCGAGGCGTTCGATGCGTTCCTGCTCACGCTGACGGAGGGCATTGTTCCGGCGGCTGCGGCGTTGCTGCCGCGGCTGCAGCAGGAGATCCTCGGGCCGCTCGACCGGCTGCTCGCGAGCGCGGAGGGGCCGCGGGCGCTGCTCGCCAGCATGGGGGAGCACGCGCCGCTGCACGCGTACCTGCTCACCACGCCCTTCTCCCCGAAGAACCGCCCCCCGCCCGCGCTCCTCGCCTCGTCCTCGCACTACCTCGCCCTCCGCACGCAACTGGCCGCGGAGCTCCCGACGTACCTCGCCCTCCTGCACCGCGGGCTCGCGGGGCTCGTGCTGCGGCTCGCCGGCGTGCAGGGTGCGTGGTGGGACGAAGCGCGCGAGGGGTGGGCGGGGCTGTGGGACATGCTGCGCGTCGAGGGCGAGCGGAACGCAGGCGGGGAGGAGACGGTGCGCGTGTGGGAGGGGCGCTGGGTCGAGGTCGGCGGCGGCGTCGCGGGGCTGGGCATCTGCCGCCCGCTACCGCATTCGCTCGCAGGCGCGAAGGTGGCGCAGACCGCGGCGCAGGCGTACGCCGGCGCGTACGCGATCGACACGGACGTGCCTTCGTCCGCGTCGCTCGGCTATCCGTACGACGAGTCGCCGACGTCGCTCGCGTACGCGCAGTCGCTCGCGTCGGGCGTGTACCCGGGCTCCTCGCCGCACTACGAGCGCACGAGCGCCGACCGCGAGCGGCCGGCGCACAACTCCACGCCGTCGCATAATTCGTTCTCCCCGAGCTCGTATTACCCGCACGACTCTGCGGAGCGAGACCGCAAGAGCAAGTCGTCGAGCTCTGCGTCAGTGCATTCCGCGCAGAGCAATGTGAGCGTCAAGGCGGCGGGGGTGACGGCGCTGCTAGGGGCGTTGGCGCCGTCACATTCGCAGCCGGCGCTTTCGCCGACAAGGGAGAGGGAGGGCAGGTTGGGGGTGAGCGGGCCGTATGCTTTGATGGTGCGTTATCCGAGTCTTTTCAAATTTGGAGTGGCGGATTGGAGCGCAGTTTTTTTTGGGGCGCCGGT